TCCCGAGGTTGGTTGATGGGGGTCCACACAGGAGTGGCAGCTGGGGATCCTGTGTGTGGGTAGCCTCCAGGTGTCCTGTGTGGGAGCTGCATCCAGGATTTCTGCTCAGATGGGTGGACGAATGTTCTGTGGGAGTGCTAATGCTGGTGGTCCCACTCAGGCACCAGGTAGTCCTACGTGGGCGAATAGTTGGGAAACCTACTCTGATGCCGAGTCCTGGAACCCTGCATGGTCATGGTGGCTGTGATTCCTGTGCGGAAGCAGGAATATCCCTCGAAGAGAAGCAGTATTCTCACTTGTTGAGTCCTAAGTCATGGAGCGACACAGAATGCTGCCTCCTTCTGGCCAGCCACCTTAGATCGGCCTACCCAGGGTTATTACTGTTTCTCCTATGATTCTTTGATCTACGTATTATTCATCACAAATATTATGATTAGGAGTTTTGCAACTTGAACACATTTCAAGAATTTTTTTAAAAAAGAAACATTGTGAAAACTATTCTGTATGTCATCACACATCTCTCAAGCATCAGGTCACTGCAGAACACATGGAGAAAACTACTGCTTCCTTGTATTCACTAAGCAGGACTCACAGAGGTGTGCCTTGGGCAGATGTGGGTGGGGCCTGTCCTGTAATGGTGGAAATTTTACTTAACAAGGTGGCCATGGATGGTGGAGCTAGAATTTGCACACCAAGTAAAGAAAATTCCTGCCTTTCAATCTTTTTTTTTCACTTTGCCAATATCACCACCCACTGATGTAATGAGAGTCACCAAATATAATTAGACTTAGGATAGAGGTACAGATTGACTTTTTATATTTGAAATCAAGTGTTCATATTTTAATTTCTCCCTGAGGGTTTGGCACACCATACATCAGACCATCTGTTTGAAATTATACTTCATAATGGGGTTAAAAAATATCTTTTAAGAAAGGCCAAATAAAGAGTTGTATACATTGTAGATGGGATCCATAATAATTAGCTTCTTTATTCTCATATTAAAATTTACATTAATATTGTGGGAAAGACATTTTAATGTATGATATGAATTGAAATACATTTTTAATTTTTTAAAAGATGTATTACTAGAATATTTCTCTAATATGTAGTGATCATTAAAGACTAAAGTTCCTAGAGAATTTATCAAAATTAGCTGAACTACATTAGGCAATATAAACTATATCTTTACATTTATTTTTTGTGCAAATTTTATTTTGCACCTAAAATTTCAATTTTTAATCTTAAAATTTTTATTATAGACAATTCAGTATAAGGGTGCAATGCATTTTTATTTCTGATCTATCATGTTTTGAAACACAGTCATGAATTCTCTGCCAAGGGTGAGCCAGACAAATGTTCTTTATCTGTTTTAAAGTATAATTAAAAGTATTGATTCCCAAACTATTGCATTCATATAAGAGTTAAAATATATCATAATTATACATTTAGTATGAAATATAGAAAGCTAATTCTATTAATTAAAATCAAAATACTAATTTTACATTAATAGGAAATATCCATATTAATTTATTTTAAGACTTTCAAGCTTTTAAAATACATATTATTTTGCTCTTTCCTCACAGTATCACTATGAATGCAGCTTGGGCCATTTCACTCTTCTCAATGTATAGAAAGGAATTGGCTTAAAAGAGTGAAGTGTTACATGGCCTGTCTAAAACCACTGTGTTTTAGAAGCTGGTAGGGTTCACCAGTTTCTATTTAAATATTTCCTCATTCTGTAGTTAGCCGCTAGATTCTGTTTTTTCTTCACACAATAGCCAGAATGAAATTTGCAAAAATCTTAATCAGATCCTATCACTCACATGATTAAGCCTTGGTACCAAGTGACCATTGTTTTTTTTTTTTCAGGATCCAGTCTCAAATCCTTCATAGGATGGTGGTGGTCCACCAGTGTCCAGCCTCTGCTGTTTCCACCTTTATCGCATGCTGTGGCTGTTCCTTGCTCACCAGGCTTCAGCTACATGGGGCTTCTCTTTGTTCTTGCTATGTGTGACAAAGGACTCTGCCCTTGCTGCCCACTCTGCCTGGCATGCTGATCCTTTATCTTCACCATTAAGCACTGAGTGATCACAGAGGTTTTGGTGTCAATGCTACTCACTCAAAGAAGCCTTCCTCTAATCCACCGCACCACATCAATTCCTCTTGCTTCGACAAACCTTTAATTACTCATTAGTTGAAAATGACGTTTTCCTTTGTGGTAGTTTCTTTGGCACCTGCCACTGCTCTGTTAGTCTATTGGAGTCAGAATCATGCCTCTTTGGTTCATTGCTACCCTCCAGAGCTGGTCAAGTGTTTGGCACATAGTAGCAGCTCAGGGAACACATAAGTTCTAAGAGAATGAATGAATCCATTTGGTGGTACATAGTTCTTTTCCCCTTTATTAAATGAGGGAATTATCAGAATTTTCTCCTTCCTGGGAATGTGCATATAGAAATGACTTCTGATACTTGAATGATTTAGGCAACTGTTAAAACATTAGTAGAACAGTTTAAAAAAAAATAAAATAAAATGAGTTAGAAGCTAGAATCTCCTCCCTTTGAGGTTTAATTAGAGGATAGCTTAATTAGCATGAGTTAATGCAAGCTCTGTTGCTGTGTGAGGGCTATGATTTATAAACAAAGACTTGGACTTAAGATATGATTTGCAGAACAAAGACTTGGACTTAAGATATCCTTTGGTTTTTATGTTTGATTCTTTGTGCTTCATTCAACTCTTTGCTTGTCCTTGGATAGGGAAAGTGCTTTGGAATTCTGCTCTTGATTCTGATTTCTTTTTTCTCTATCATGATGTACAGTCTGCCCAGCTATAACATGGCATATATATTTCTAAAAATCACTGCACTCTGCAAAACCACACAATAGAAACCATAAGGCAGGGAATGTGACTAGGAATGTGATACTAAAAATTTTGTCAGTGACACCTTAAAAAAAAAAGAAACTAATAAAAATGGTAGTGGAGTTTTCCATGTGTTAAATGGTTAAGAAATACTTAAATACTGCAATTAATTTGACATTTTACCTTGAAAAAGACCTACAGTTGACTTGTGGGTGTGGGCGTCAAAAGCCATGCAGCTGCTAAGTTATCATAAAGTGAGCGCAGAATGATTGTGGCTCATGATGTGCACAGTGGACTGAGGTCTGTTTGAAATGTGTGTATTTTGTGTATTTCTATGCAACTTGGGTCAGCAGGGTACAATATTTTTCTCATGAATGAAGTTGGGCAGAAGCAAATGTGAGATTTGTGTCATGCTCAAGTTGTTCCCTGATTTATCAATTGCACTGGAACAAATTTGTACCTTTAAGAGAAGTATAACAGCAGATCTGACTCAAGTGAGTCCATAAAGAAAAGAATGTTGATTGTGTGTAGTAACTGAGTATTTTTATTGGTAAAAAATGTATATAATGTAAAATTCCCATTTTAGCCATTTGTACCAAGTTAGCCTAATTCTTTTCTAAGACCAACAATTTTTTTTCCTTTCCAAAGCTTTCAGAATATCACATTCTAAAGTGTCAGTATAAAATTTTGATTTTTTTCTGATGTTGATAAAAGTAACTGATTTGGGAGTTAAAAATTGATTAAGGACTTAACAAAAAAGATTGCTTCACAATTGATAAGTGAATGTTTCCAGTAATACTATTAGGTCATGTGCTAAATGTAAAAATTGCATTTGCTCTTACAACCTACTCATCATCTCCAACAGATGTTTATCCAGCTGAAAAATTATGACAAATGTATATGGAAAATAACAACAGCATAACATTAAAGGTGTTAAGTATAGTAGGTGCTATTGAAATCCAAGGAAGGGAGAGAATGATGGTCTGGTGAGGAAGAATTCCAGAAGGTGTGGCTATAGCTGAGCCTTAGAAAGGCCCTTGGCTTCCAATGGAGACCTTAGGGAGTATTTGAAGCAGAAGCGAGGACATGATCAAAGGTGCAGAGGAAGGGGGATGTGTAGGCATTTTTAGAGGATAATGATTTATTTCTAGATGAGACTCTGATATTTTCTTCAGGACAAATTCCCCCTCATAAGTTAGAACTAAAGAAAATTCATCTTTTGTGTCACTTTCTATGAGTACGCCCCATGTGATGGATCGCATTTAACCCTGAGTAATCCATGCGACAGAGTAATAGAATTTGATTTATGGCAACATAGAAGTCTCTTCTTCTCTTCTTTCCTGTTAGTAATTTATGTTCCTCATAATAAAACTATGCATCTTTGGTTTTATCATAGAATTACATATTCTTATAGAAAGTGCTCAATTTAGTAGCAGCAATAAGTACGGCATGCTTAAAAATGGCAACAAGAATAACGGAATTCATACAAAACAAAAAGAGAATAGCTAAATCAATTTTATAAGGAGGATCTAAGCCCTTGCAGAACCAACTACTCTGAGTCAGTCTGTCTTTTGATCCATAGTCTCCATTGGTAAAATGATCTATTTATCTAGAATTATAAAAACAGTGGGTGATTTGGCTTATTTTTATCTCTGAAAACCTCATATGGCAAAATTAAAACTCATTCATTATCTTGTAAATTTGAAGGTTTTTGTCCTTTTATGAAAACAGTAATATAAAGAATATGGCAGAGATTGAGAACATGAAATAATTTTGAATAGGTATAATGCTCCTATTAATTATTATCTGAATTATTTTGCTTTCGATGGTATATTGGGGTCATCATTCTTCATCGAAAGCAACTTGGTTTAGGGGAAATCATAAAATTTTGGAATTAAATCATCCACTACTCAAAATCTGTTACCTTTTGGTCTCTGAAGTTGGATACATCATTTACATCTCACTGATCCTTAGTTCCCTCGTCTCTAACAATAGATAAATAACAGAATCTATTTCATGGGGTTGTCACTGGGATGAAATTAACACATACGACGCTCACGCTAGCACTTAGGGACCAACAGCTATTACTAGTTATTTTTTGTCCTAAATACATTTTTGAAAGTTCTTCCCTGTGTCTTTCACAGCATGAGAAGCTGATACATGAACTGGAAGAGGAGAGACACTTGCGTCTTCAAAGTGAGAAGCGGTTGCGGGAGGTGACCCGTGAGTCAGAGCGCAACAGAGTTCAGATGCGTGGTCTTCAGCGGCAGTTCTCCAGGTACTGTTCTTGACTGAGAGGTGTCCCTTCGTGCACCCTTGGGTTAGGTTTTCATTGCTCAAGCTGATTTTCTAACAATTTAGATTTTCTATTTTGACTAAGCCATACTATGACATCTGGGCTAATTTTCTGAAACTTTTCACTTACCCTTGAAGTAGTCTTGGCTATATTGACACTGGTGGCCTGCTTTTTGCCCCAGTGGCTTCTCAAAAGGTCTTTTGTGAGTATGCGTTGTCTTTGGGACCTATAACCATGTCCAGTGTCAGATCAGTCAGAGAAATGAGATTGTGCTTGTCATCCCAGTCCTAGTAGGTGAGTGTGGATCTAATCATTCAGGAAAAAAATCATTTAGGGCTGTCATAGCTCAGTGGTGGAGCGCTTTCCTAGTATGTGTGAGGCACTGGGTTTGATCCTCAGCACCACATAAAAATAAATAAAAGAAAGTAAAGATATTATATCCATCTAAAACTAAAACAAAAAGTTTTAAAAAAGAAAAAAAAACTTATTTATGTGTGCTAAAGAAAAGAAAACAAAGCAAAATAAAACAATGCATTCCTTTTTTTGAAAACAATATATTCCTTTCTTTTAAAAAGATGTAACTAGCTGAGAGCGGTGGCACACAAGGATCGAAAGTTCAGATCCAGCCTCAGCCACATTGTGAGGCCCTAAGCAACTCTGTGAGACCCTGTCTCTAAATAAAATATTAAAAAGGGCTGGGAATGTAGCTCAGTGGTTGAGCGCCTCTGGTTTAAATTCCTGGAATCAAAACTTTAAAAAAAAAAAAAAAGATATAACTAAAATTTGAAGGGAGGATTCTGAAAAAGGAGCTGTTTTTAGATTTGATTCTGGCATAGTTAGAATCTTTCAACTGCAATTATAGTTAATATGGGGCCAGGTGACAGTTCAACCCATTATGTTAAAATCTATTCAGTTACATGGGGAAAAAATAAAACTTGTACATTTATATTCCTTAGACCAGATACAGGGCCCCGGTGAGGGACAATATGCTTTCATTTCTATTTTTCACCATTTATAAAATCAGGAAAATAATTTGTTTCACTTCTCCAACATGAACTTATCCCAAGCAGTATCATGTTTGGACAGTTGCTTTACAAGGCTTTGCCAGTGAACTGTTAGGGATCTTGACTTTAACTTGTCACTGGGATTTGTTTGATTATAGATTAGTGTTTGATGCTATAGATTTTCTTGTTATGAAGTTATATAATGTAGTTTAAGTTTTTCACATGTTGCAGAGAGGTCAAATTTCAGCCTTCAGGTTATTTACCTCACTGTGTCTAATATGATGATTGCTGTGACTCTGGTTTAGGGGCTTCTTAAGGAACAAAGCAGGAAGAGTGGATGACTTCTCTGTGTTCAGGATCATAAGTGAACGCCCTGTTAAGCTATACAAGATCATGATAGTACACAGGTGCTATAGAAATGCACCAATCGATACTGTAACAAATCTACACTCCATCCCTCTCAGGCTGTTACTGACACTACTTTATATCCTCAATTTTTCTTCCATTTGATGGGAATGCTCATCAGTGTCCCAACTGGAAATAATAGATTCCCCCCAAACCAACTTTAAAAGAAGTATCATTTTTTTTAATACTTGCCATTTTAATGATACAGGAAAGGAGGAGGCAGATCTTGCTTTTTTTCAGTGTCTAATCGAGATGTCTCTATATTCAAGCTATTGATTTCCATGATGTGAGACACATGGCACAGTGAATTATTTTCATATGATGCCGGGTCATCTGCTGTACATCAAATGACAATCCTATACAGATTTGAATTATAGAAGAGCAAGATTGTATCCTAAGCTGAAAGAAAAGATAATTATATGTATGATAAATAGTGGTTGATTCTACATACTGCTTTTGTGAGGATTTTTTTCCCCAGTATAATCAGTTTTCTTATGTAAACCTTCATTGAAACTGAAAAGTTCAAGTCCAATTACAGCTAGACAACTAATATAAATCAGTGAAAGATGGAGGGGGATAAGCATAAATAAGAGATAAGATAATTACACTATAATTTGGGGAGATCTAATGAACCACATCTGATAGCCTTTCATAGTTTAAATTTTGGTTTTGAAGATATTTCTACTAATGCTTATTTAAATAATCCTGTTAATTTAAGTCTTTATAAAATTTTCAGTATTACAGAATATGCCCTTGGACATGTTTAGCATTTAAATGTTCATATAATTTATATGATCCAAACTATTACATTGAATTAAAAATTTTATATTCATAATTTTATCACTTTTACTCTGGGTTGATCAGTTCATTTGGTATGGGGTTATTATTTGGGATGCGGACATAATTTTTTCATGAGCTGAGGTTTCCTTTTAACATTGTTCATAATCTCCTATCTCAAAGAATGTGGCATGGCTTACAATAAAAGGTAGATTTACAGTAATGCTGGAAAAATAAAAGCAGAAAATAAAGATCACAAAAGGAGAATGTCAAGTAGGCATAGTCACATAGCCCAACAAGTTTTCTGAGAATGAGTGGCTAACATGTTGCAAAGGAAAACACAAGAGGCATGTAATTGTTATATCATAGTCAAAGGCTACTGTTTCCTAATAGAGGAACACTATCTATGGAAATAAGTTCATAATAGAATGTATCAGATAGGGCTCTTCATAGGAGACATTGATGGATACAATAGACATTGGTTCAAGATGATGAAAATTAGGATAATTCTTAAGAATGTTACTACTTCCACTATGTCACTTAAGTCTGAAAAGTTAAACAGTTTATGAATTTTGTAATACATGAAGTAAGAATATTGGGTTTATGTCTGAAGGATCACTTGAAATAAGAACTTTTCTATTGCCCAGTGCTCTTAAGTCAACCACTGTATGTACTTTCTATTTTTTTTTTCCATAGAGCAATAAGATACAGATGCCTGAGTTTGGTTGTACGAAGGGTTTCTTGGTGTATTTGATAGCATAATAAATAGGGGAGCCTTTAATATAGCACTTAACGGCTTCCAATTTCAGCTTCAGAGATAATATGAGGCAATGGAGAAGGAACTGAATAAAAAGTCAGATACTGAACAGTTAGGGGCATGTGGGAGATGGTATTCTTCAGATGCCGGGATGAGTGATTGAAGAAAGCAAGTCTAGGTTCTGGTTTATGAAATTTCAGCTGTGTGCTAGGCCTGATGGCTTGAAGACACACAGCAAACCTGAACATTTGTGATTATCTGTATTAATGAGTAATAGGGTCACTTACGATAAAAATACATAAAGTTGTTTGAGTGAGCGGTTCCCTTTATATCACCATCAAATTTCCATCCATGATGCCTTCCTCCCTCTTGACATCTGATTAGGGTATGATGAACAGCAATGGTCCAAACTTTGGACAATAAAAGAAAAAGAATGTGCAATCAGAAACCACATAATCAGCTCTAAACTCATAAATCAGAAATTCCCTACATGGAGAGGGTTGTAGACAAATATAACAAACTTCTTCTGACCATTTATATTCCTTAATGTAAATGCAGAGAAGGGAAAAAAATAGATACTTTCAAATTAAGCCCTCCCCACTGTTGACAGAACCCTTTTAATAAGGGGTACCTGAGGCAGGTTGGTGGTGTCATTAGGGCCTTCTCTTGCTGCTGTTGTTATTTGGGGATATAAATTAAAGATGCTTTCCAGATGTGATCGTGATTGCTTAACCACTGTCTGGAGGAATACATGGCTGGGCATATTTTATGAGGGATTCGTTTTGTAATCATCTGTAATTCCATACTCTCTTCCCACCCTGAATGCTTGTTGGAATTGTGCTTGTGTTGCCTGCCAGCTTAGTGGTGTAGACTGAGGCTATGTCACTGCCTTCTGGTCTGCTTAAAGAAATAATAGTTTAGCCCAAGCCTCTTTATCCATTGGAGTTAATGAACTGTTTGCACAACAGCTAGATTCATTGGGAGGAGTATGTTCAGGAACATCACCTCCAAGTTGGGTGGGATTTGTTGACTTGTAATAATAGCTATTTTAAAAAATAGGCTTGTGAAGACCTAAGCATTTCTACAAGCACTGATTTTATATAGACCATATACATAATCATATGTACAACACCATATTATAACATAACTGTAAATGAGAGAAATTTTGTCCAGTCTCAGGACAGCCAGATTTCAGACTTAGTAATGGATTATGCTGATGCATGAATAGTCATGAATAGTCAGATGAAATTAATGATTGACACATTTGAAACTTTAAATTAGAATTGTTCTGGCAGATATGCCAGATACGCCAGATACGCCACCTGGCTGCCACACTTGAGAAACCCTCTTTGGTTAGCAAACTGTATCACATTCGAAGTTTCAGGAATTATTTATATTCCTTAATGTAAATGCAGAGAAGGAAAAAAAATAGATACTTTCAAATTAAGCTCTCCCCACTGTTTACAGGGCCCTTTTAATAAAGGGTACCTGAGGCAGGTGGTGGTATCTTTAGGGCCGTTTATACACCAGGCATTGTACATCTAAGCAATGGGAACAATTAGGTTTTGTCATTCTTAATTATCCAGAATAGTTAAAAATCAACCAAGTCCATTCCGGGCTTTCCCCAGGATTTCTCTGCCCCTGTTCTGTCCTTCCCCCTGATGCTGTGGTCTGCTGCCTTGGAGCTGTCTCTTTGCTTACTGTAATAGGGATTCTCCTGTCATAGTTGATTGCTATGCTTAAGTGCAGTCTGCTGCCTGCTGCACTTCAAGGAGCCATAAACGGGAATGGTTTCACCACTTGACTTGTTTGCTGGTTGCTGTTCACATTATGGGCTCTCAGAGACTTTATGAAATCCTAGGGTTCATATTCTGCTGCCCATTCTGAAGCTGTAGGCACCTGGCATAGAAGTGAGTGTGAAAGAGGATAATATGCCCTTAAATGTGCTACCCACATACTCCATTCTGCCTCTATATCTGTCTGGTACATTAAAAGAACATTTTCTCTGCATCTTTAGAAGGAGTGAAATACAACAAGAT